GTGTTGGAACCTGCTGTCAATGCCGCTGCCTGGCCTTCTGGGAGAGCGTCCGCCCAAGCGTCCATGGTGGCAACTGAGAAGACCGTCTCGCCGGTACCTGGGGGTCCGTGCACGACTGTTACGTGGTGTCGCGTGGTGGCGGCGAGGGCCCTCTTGGCATCGCCATTGAGGTTGTGGCGCTTGGCCCCTTCCTCGAGTGCAGTATCTGCTGGCAATTCCCTGGCCCGCTGGAAGACCTGACCAATCGCATCGTCCACTTCTTGGTAGGAAAAGGGGGTGGTAATGCCAGTCCCGTCCGGGGGGTGTGGGGCTGCCGCGCTGCTGACTGCACCTGTGGGCGCCATGCCTGGGGAGAGGTCCCCGATGGTGGCCTTGGCACGTGAGAGAAGGCCCTGCCCGCAGAGCATGGTGTTCTCCACGCTGTTGGCCCGCGTCTTGTCCTCCTTGTCGACGGTGCGGTATGTGGGGAGGTGCGTGATAGCGCACAGAGGAGTACCGACCAGGTCTGGGGAGGACTGCTGTAGCGTGTAGATCTCAGTGATGGCTGTAGAAATTCTACGGCATTGTAACTGGTGGGCAGCTTTGTCCAGGCTGTACCAAGGCATCCCGGCTTCGGGAGGGCTTGGGACTCTGCTGTCCGCGTGGAACTTCCCAAATTTATCCTTGTCGTATGCCACAATGCATTCGTTGCTGGGGTACTTGGTTCCCCATCTGAGCCTTAGCGCATCGCATTCGCTTGCAGGGGCCGTACCTCCAAACTCAGGTGGCCACAGGAGTTTGAGGGAGGCCACCTGGTCTGGTGATGGGCTGGTGAAGCTGAGAAGTAGCGTGCGGGCTTCCTGTCCTGTCTCATGTCCCCTGAGAAGAATCTTGAATTCTTGTGTCCATTGCAGGTGAAGGAGCATTTTTCCCTCCGAAGTGGGGAATGCGTTCCGCAACCTGAACTGATCAAGGAGTTCACAGGGGTACTGCTCGTCGATGGGTGTTACTGCCGCGCACAGCGCACAGCTCTGCCTTCTTAACAAGTCTGTTTTGGCCTTGATGGAGCCGTCCCAAACGGTCTCGGTGGCTGCCATGCACTCAGTCCGAGCTAACCTGTCGAGGGTGCGCCCTCTTTGCCGTAAGTTCTGCTCCCAATGTCTTGGGAGATTCGCGCCAAGCGGGACCGCGCCCGTGGGGGTGTGAAGGTGGTGCTGGGCTGCTGGGCTGCTGGTGGGGACTGCAAAAAGACGGGTGATGGCATCCGCTGCTGCAGTTGCCGAAGACTCGATCACAACCCTCCTGCTCAACATGCGGGGGGGGGGGCGTCCTGCCAGCTGTGCCGACTTACCTCTTCATGGCGAATAGGCCTGGACCATTCGGCTGACTCCTGTGAGGGGGCCCTGCTAGAAGCGGCGTTCCTTCCATCCCATGGGTTCCGCATGGCAGGGGGTCCTGCAAGCGTCGCTGCGCACGCACCAGGCGGGGGCGGTGGCGGTGGCGGCGCAGCCCCCCAGGTTCTGTGCGCATCCCAAGGAACCTTTCCCCATGCTGCCCTGTGCTGGCGTGGCGGGCGCATGTCTATCGAATGGGCGGTATCGGGGGAGGGGGGGATGAAGTCGTGGAGGTCGTTACGGAACGGAAAGTGGACTGGAACGTAGTCCCAGTCGTCCGGGAAGAACCATCCTGGAAGGTGTGGCAGTATGCCTTCCTTCACTGGCTCCGGCAGCGTCCAGCCAGGCCATTGTGGTCTGCCGAAATAGGCCTTCGATACCTCGTCGTAGTAATTGCCGCCCGTTCTGGTCCAGAGATTGCCTGGCGCGTTGAACTCCCTTGGGTTTGGCCAGCCTGAGTCTTTCTGCTTCTCGGCCTCCTTTGCATGGGGCCAACCTAAGAGGCGTTCCTTGCCATCACAATGTTTCTGGCACACTTCACACCGCCAGCGCCACTCATGATGGAAGTGCGCCCAGCGGAGCCAGGGGCACTCGCGCGACCGAAAGGGCCTCGGGCCATCGACCTTGACTGGCCCTTCAGCACGGTGAGCTGCGGGGGAGAGCCACCTGGCCAGTGGCCCATTATTGTTCTTCCTTGTCATCCTGCAGACGGGGGCGCAGCCGAAAGCCGCAGAAGAATGGTGACTGGTGGGGGGGTGAGCTGCAGGGGCCTCAGTTGGAACGTGGATCGATCGATCGGCGACCCGCACTGGGGAGGAGCAAGGCCGACGGCAGCGGCACACTCCGACGGGTCACAGAGATTGACCTCGCGTCCGTCTTGAAATGGAAAGTGAGCTGGTCGGGTGGGGGCGTCACTTGCCCATTGTATGTGAGTATTGACAGTGCTCAGGCCTTCCTTGCAGAGGGTGTCCGCCCAGTAGACCCCAATGGTGGCGAGGCTGTCGGCAGCCTTGTTCAGTCTCCTTCTGACTGCTTGCCAGGTGAGTACCCAGCCTGCGCTCTCGGCCTGCCCTAGGGCGTCCTCATCTGCCGGGCGAGGTGTAGCCTTCGGTATCTGGCAGTGCCCGCCCCGTACCGAACGGCAGCTAGGTTATCACCGACCACCCTGGCGGCCCGGATAGGGCCCCTGAGGTGGGGGAGCAGAGCCAAACCTGCTCGGCAGCCTGCTACTTCAGCCATCTGCGCGCTGCAGTCGGGAAGCGCAACAATGGCGACCGCCAACACTTGGGGGGACCCAGTGGCGGGGTCGTGATGCCACAGGATGGCACCAGCGCCTGAAACCTTGATGGCTCCCTCAATACTCCTGGCCCCGCCGTCGAAGGTGACTTCGTAGGGCCATTGGGTGCTGTTGGAGTCAGGGAAGGGCGAGCTACGGACTGTGACTTCGCCACCAGGGGCGAGGATGGAGTTGGCGGTCAGAGTAATGGTGTGAGATCGGCATTCCCGGCAGAAAGCGGAGGTCCAGCTGGCGGTGGGAGTGTCGTCGGTCCTGGGGCAGGGGAACCAACCTTGTCCTGGGGGCATCCATGCTGCCCGGGACTGTGGCGCCTGTAACGCGGCGAGCCTGCTCCCAGGGTGATGGTTTCCGGTGACTACCGGGAGCCTGCGAACCTCTCCTCCGGCCCTGGGGGCGTGTCGTTGCATGTGGGGCCTGGCAGCGCCACAGACTGTTCTTTCAGGAGTGGCACCAGGATTGCAAGTGCTGCAGGTATGTCGCATGACTGACCAGGCTGAGGTCTCGTCTGGGTTGTCAAGTCTGGGGTGCTCGTCGACCTCTCTCGCCTCGTCCCCGCAGTCCCCCTGCTGATCCAAGTCCGCGGCAACGATGCCTTCCAGGATGAGTGTGGCGGATTCGGTGGCCTCAAGGGGAGTGGCAGTGAGGTTGACGCAGTACCTGAAGGAGATCTGGTGGAGCAACTTCGCGAGCACGGGCTGGTGCTCGCCGATGCTGGTGATGGCTTGCGCAAGGGTGTGTTGATCATCTGGACCCCTGACGGTGCACCAGGCAAGTGCAGCGGCGGGGCACCAGTGCCATATGTGTTCGGTGGTTGCCTCACCGAATCCACACAGGGGGCAGCGCCCGTAAGGACCTTCTCTGTTGGGCGGGCGCAGGTGCCCACGTGAGAGCGTGTAAGCCACAGCCTGTTCCTGAAGGGAGGGGGGTAGCAGGCAGGATTGGAGTGTCTGCCATAGCGCGGATGCATGCGGGCCTGGGCCCATGCACTGCGCGCACCACGCCGCGCCGTCGTCGCTGGAGCTAGCGGAGATCCAAACGCTCTTGGCCTGCGCCCCGCATGGACACATGTGCGGTCCCCTTTCGTTTTCGCCCCTCCGCCTCGCTGAGCCAGGCAGGCCGCTGCAAAGAATGCGAATCACGTGGTGCGCTTCGGTGAAGGAAGTGCAGTGATGTAACAGTCGCCACTCCTCACCGTCAGAGGGTTGCCATCTCTTCCCCTGGCTGGTGTCGACAAGCCACCTGGAGAACTTGTGGCTGTGCATCTGCGCCCATGCGGCTGCATAGGTGATCCTGCCGAACTGCTTGCATTCAAGGAGCTCCGATTGTTCGCGTGCCCAGCCTAGAACCAGCGCCGCTTTCCGCTCCGTGATCATCTTGGGCCTAGGGGAGGGCACCTCGGGCTGCCGCGCAGCATCGTTTCTGGATGGCCTGGTGGGATATTTTTTTCGGTCGCGGCCGCGAGACGACGGTCAGGCGGCGAGAGCAAAGTCCGGGACGCGAACTAGGCAAATTAGCTAGTGGGGATACGCGAAGCGTCAGCAATTTGCAGACAAACGCGCAGTCCATACAATGTGCTGGCAGCTTGAGGGGAAGATTCAACACCAACGAGTGCAACAACTCCATGTTAGTCATTGCGTGTGCACTTTCGCGTCCAGAAAACGTGTGCCGCTGCCGAGAACGGAATTTCCGCGATATCGCAGGGAACCAGCTTTCGGTACTGTGAGCGTAGCAAAATGCCGTCGACTTGAAAGTACGATTGGAGCAACTGCCGCCTTGCATTGACCAACTTCGACAGTGCAACCATGTAGCTGACAACAACTGGTCTTAAATGAAAGTGCCTCGGCGACAAAGCACGCTTGCTATCACAATCAGATATTGTTCCACGTGTTCTGACATGCAACTAAACAACACACGATTACTGCCAACAACCATGCGGACCTTCCGGATCGAAGCCGGCAAACCCACCATCACACGGTTTGGGAGCTTCCAGGCGCGAAGCGCCACTACCACGACCTGTTTCAATGCCATGGCAGGCGCACGTGGGGTGATCCGTATACTTTCGGTCAAACGTATACGACATGCGGACATGCAACATCGAATATTGAGGTACGGAAACCAAGCTGCAACAACACCATCGCGGTGTATTTTCGTTGGAGTTATGTCTCTCCACCGCGATTCGACTATGCATCGTCCTTGCGTCGGCTCCCGACGGCAATGTGGGATGCCAACGCGCGAAGAGCAACCCGGGTATCAATCCACCAAGCTTGTCTACTATATTGCCCGCTCCGAGAACTCTGACTTCAATTTCCTGCTATCATGAAATGCCGATGTCAAGACGCCAGCTTTCGCAAGCAAAGCCGCCCTCCTTCTGCTTCCACTAACTTCTGCCGCCTTTCGCCGAGGAATGGCTGGCAACACCTCGATCCCTCGAAGGCGAGGCCTTTTCTGGAACGCCCCAGGCCACCGCGGAGGAGGACGACGAGGAGGAACTCGTTCGGGCGCGGGCCTGCACGCGCGCGCGCGGACTGGCGCCGCGGGCGGCGGCGGCCGTGGAAGCGGACGCTTTCAGGCGTTCGCGTTCTTGGCGACGACGGCCTCGTCGATGACGACGGGGAGGACACGGAGGAGGACCCCTACCAAAACCAAATGTGTGGAGAAGGTTGTATTTAACCCAATGTGTACCAAATATGCTGCAGTGCACCCCCGTGTCCCAATTCCCCCCTGTATTCGTCCCTGACAACAATCTCTTTCATTGCGCGAGGCGACCCCCTTGACAAACGGGCGCCCCATGAGGGTGTAATTCAAGCAACAGCTCCGTTTCGGAAAAAGCCGCCCTCCATAAAGCTATAAGGAATGCGACCAAACGGGACTTCTAGCTCAAGCGCGTGCCATGCGAACATCCCGCTTTGAAACAAACAGGCCGTCTGTCCGTTTATCGGTTGCGCAATCTGTTATCGTCTGGTCAAGAAACCCAGCGAAACCTAACGCGAGAAACTCGTGCTCGAACGGAACCGCCCTCCATCCGTGTATCTGTCGCCCGTCCTTGCGCTCGTGGTAACATGTTTGGACGAACCCTTGAGCGATGACATTACTTTGAAAAAGGAACCACCCTCCATCCGTGGATCCGCTGGAACTAAGTAAGGCGAGTTTGCGCAGCGCCAATTCGAGGGCCCCACATTGAAAAAGGCACCGCCCTGATAAAGTATAAACAAATAAAAAGAAGATGCGTGGCGCCCAGGCGAAACACATTTCGAACAGGTACCGTCCTCGCACCGCGCACCTCTTGGAAGCTTCACGCGCCACTATTGTACACGGCGAGGATGTTTTAGGCGTAACGCGGAACCCGCCCTACCGACGCATCTGGTGGTGCGACAGAGGTGAGCTGTCCACAAGCAAGGGGGATGGATGACAACGAAAACCAGGACGAGGAAGAGTAAGGAGGGGCGAGGACGATTCCAGGGAATCATATCTTGAAGCGCCGTCGCCCAGTCGTGCTATTAGGCACGATTTCTGGCTGTGGCTTTCTCCGCAGGCTAGGCGCGTGCACTCGAGTTGCTCCTTTCAGATTAGCATCGCGTGGCCGAGGATGCGTCCCTCCTTGATCAATCTAGCATGGGCGCTGGGTGTGTTCTGATAGACATCTCGTTTTAATAACAGAAGGGGCGCGGTGGGAGGCAGGGGGGACAGAGTGACTGAGAATGATGGCAGGCGGGTGGGGAATGAGATGGCGGAGGAAGAGCGGAAGGGAGACAGTGACGGAGAGCAGTCGATCAGAATGGGAGGCAAGATCAGGGAGAGGGAAGGGATAAGATCCCACGAACACGGGGACATCACGGGGAACAGCAAACATGCATGACTTCAGCCCTGGTTCCAGGGATCGGATCAATTCGAGCCGGCCGCTTTGGGACCGAGCCCTCCGAATTGGAGCCTCCAGCTTCTGCCCAACTCACCTGACGCTGCATCATATTCGTCCGTGCTCGCCGTCGCATTCCCATTACGCATCCGCCTGCTGGTCCTTCTCCTCTTCCTCGTCCTCTTCCTCGGCCCCCCCCTCCTCCTGCTCTTCTCCTCCGTCTACCCTTCGGAATACCCCAGCCCCTGCCACACCCCACCTCCATGGTCCTCTCCCTTCACCTCCCCATGCCCCTCCCCCTTCCCCTCGCCCAGCAGATGTATTGACCGACGCACGTTGTAAAATATCTCTTGGCACCACAAGCGAAATCATGCAGCAAATCGGACAAAGAGACTCCTCTGGCTCTGCTCTGCTCTTCCGGTGCTCAGGCGCATCTTCAGCGCAATGTGCCCCCGCCTCAAGCGGCCGGCTCGGCGGACTCTCCGTTCGCATGGCCGTCGGGCGAGTCGCCGGCGGGCTCTGCC